GTATACCTGAGCACAGCTCAATTGCCGGACACATGCCAATTTCGGAGAAGAAAGAAACAGCAGAAATGACAATAAATGGCACTGCAAGATGCCATTAACACAAGGATCGGAGAGTGGGGTGCTAAAGGACTCAGTGGTGGCCAAAAGAGGATTAGCATTTGCATTGAGATTTTACCTCGTCCCAAGCTTCTTTTTCTGGATGAACCAACCATCGACTCGACAGTGCAGGTTCATATTATGTTATGAGTAGGATTGCGAACTTGATCAAGAGATGGAGTTGGAAGAACCATTATAGCTTCTATATACTAGCCTAGAACTGAAGTGTTTCAGCTTTTCCATAATCTTTGCCTTCTGCCTTCGGCTAGAACAGTGTATTTTGGTCTTGCTTCAATGGCAATGGTTATTATTAAGAGCTTAATTGGATGTTTCTTTCTCTTCAACTTTCATTGAGCTAACTAATTGTTCTCACTTTCAATTTCGATGTAGTTTTTTGCTTTAAATGGTTTCCCTTGCCCAACCTCCAAACTAATTGTTCTCACTTTCATTTCGATGTAGTTTTTGCTTTAAATGGTTTCCCTTGCCCAACGCTCCAAAATCCATCTGACCATTTTTGAAAACCATTAACCAGGATTTCCAAAAGTGAGTATTTTTTCTTGTCACTCTATTATTACGTCAGTAAAATTACTAATATTCGGATCGTTTAATATAAAGTTTCATACTAATACCGATAATTTTACAGGTCTTGATTATATTTAGCAATGGGTTGATTTGAAATGAAGTTACTTTTGTTTGTGAGCCTCGGTTTCTAATAGTTTCACTATCAACAGGATATTGAAGAAGGTTTAGATGATGGAATATTACCCACAGAAGACAAATTGATCATATTCTTATAAAGTCTTATAACCATCTGGTAGTTATGAGCAAGTTCGATGCCAGGTTGCCCAAATATGTAATCAGGTACATGAGCGAGAAATCAAGAATATTAATTTCACAGGTTGTATATTTATTTAGAAAATATTAGCGATTGACATGGACATTATTAGGATTGTGGACATTGGAGGAAAAGAGAAGGCATGCTAGCTTCCTAACTCAGTCAACTACTCACAAGAAGATCTTTGTGGACATGTATCGTGATCTAGGCTACTATTGGTTACGCCTAGCTGTGTATGTGGCTTGGCTATAGGTCTTGCTACTGTTTAAAAATCTAGCACAAGTGATAGTTCAATTCAAGTAAGAGAAGCAGATTAATATATTTTAATTTATCAGTGTTAATTAATTACTATGTTTTGCAAACTTTATTGAGTATGTGGTTCTTTCAGGCGAGGGGTTCACGTACTCATGTTTGTAGCTTCGATCATTTTTAACGTTCATGACCATTGGTGGATTCCCTTCTTTTGTGGAGGACATGAAGTATTTCTTTCGCATAAGATGTTCCATTTTTTAAATTTCATTATCACACTAATGCTAGTAGTGTTGTAAAATCTCTCTCCTCATGATTAATTGATCCAGGTATTGAACGAGAAAGACTAAACGGCACTACAGTGTCATCTCATTTGCTGTTGGCAACACATTCTCAGCGCTACCATACTTGTACTCATTTCAGTGATTCCAGGAGCCATAGTGTACTACCTTCCAGGACTTTCTAAAGGATACACACACTACTTAATATTTCATGTCTTTATTGTTTGCTTGTATGATGTTGGTTAGAGCCTAATGATGATTGTTGCAACCCAATTTTATATATTTTTTATATTTGAATACCCTCGTTTCTCTTTGCTTTAGACTTTGGCCATTATGAATTGTGATAATTGTTTTTGGTTGAGGATATATAATATTCATATCACTATTCCATATTTAATTGGTAATAATCAGGAAATAAACTAATTATAAAGAAATAAATTCATTTGGTTAAAATTCAAAAAATAAAACCAAATCCTTTATAGTTCGAAAACTGTCAAATTTGATTAAAATTAAACTATATTCTGATAGTTTAGGAACTGCCAAGAGATTCTTGACAGTTTGAAAATTGTCAAGACCATTCCTTGACAGTTAAAAAATAAGGAACCCCTTCTTGACACTTAATAACTATAAAAATTCAGGGTTTTTCTTGTAGTGCATGCATTAACCCAATCAGAGATTATAGAATCAAGGGAGTCCACTAACACCATTGTTGTGAAATGAATTCACTTGAACAATGTGGCTATTCTTGAAGTAATCCATTATGAGTTTGTTTGGTATGTTGTTAAAGTGTTGAGGTATAGATTTTTGGGTTATTGTATTGATATTTCATATTTGCTTGTAGATTGGTGAAATGATGATGAATTTGTATTGTTCACTGGGTTGGTGAAATTGATGATGAATTTTATTATGTCATTCTATTTTGAAGAAAGGATATTAGTTTGTCACTAGAACATGTTTCTGTTTTTTCTTAATTTGATTTGTTTTTGTTTTAACACACTTATGACGCAAGATTCACATTTAATTCTAGTTCTGATTTCATTTGTTATGTTATGTTTTTCCTATTTCCATCTATCACACAAAATAATCAATAATCAGGCGAGATGTGTAGCTAATTCTTCAAGCACACAGTAATAGACAATTTATCTCTGTAAAAATTAAAGATTAATAGATAAGACAAAAGTTTGAAAGGGTTAACATAAATGTTTTGAAAACTGACGGACCGGTCAGTTGATTGGTTCGACCATGGATGGGCCTCTTGTCTAGTCCGAGCATGTTTAACCCGTAAATACCCTTTGACCTCGATTGGTATGGATTGGACCAGTATATGTAGCAACTAGCAACCACCAATCCAATCGGACCGGTGAAAAAGCCGATCACCTAGAAAATTCAATCTTCCATCTTCATCCTAAACCTCTCTAATTCTCATAACTTCTCCATTTCAGTCCTCCCCTGAAATTTCACCAAGTCTGTAAATGACCCCCACTTCCCCCTGACCTTTTTACCACGCACCTCCCCTAGCTTCCTTCTCCCATGGATTCTATTTTCATCTCTTCCTCACTTCCCTTTCCTTTCACTTCCCATATCCCATTTCTTTCCACCATAGCCAACCCCCACATTTGGCCAACTCTCATCAAATCTGCGCTCCAAAGTCCGAATTTTTTCATCCAAAACCCCCCAAGAAAACCCTTCAATTCTTTCATTGCCCGAGTTTCTTCAAATTCAGCTCTTCGAAGACGAACAGGGGGTTTCCATTGTCCCGTAGTTTTCTTGCGGTTTTCATCCGAGCAATGTGGCTCATTGCATCTGGTGGATCAAGAGGTGCCTCAAGTTCCCATGATAGATTTGTTTCTGGAACAGGTTTCAGCCAATTTAAGAGAAGCTTGGATATTTAATGAAAAGCGTTGGAGATATGTAATGAAAGAATAATTAATGAGAGAGAGGAGTGGTGGAGAAAAGGAGGAGAAGGGAGAAGATGCTTCTTTTATTTATTTATAAACTGATAAAAGACGGTTGGAGATTTAAAATTTAATAGTGCTGGGAAAGAAGAATATTAATGGAGAGAAGAGGGAGGGGTGGAGAAAGGAGAAAGAAGAAGACACGAAAAGAGTTGTGGAAACAGAGCTGATTCTATATATTTAATAAATTAATTTTCTTTATGATGATGTTCGGTTCGACAGACTGGTGAGAACGATTGGATCGATTAACTCGAAATTGGATCTTTGATCGGGTCAAGGCCCGACCCGGTTTTCAGACATTAGTTAACATTGTTTTCTGGCTAGTCCAAATCTCATGAAGCCCAAGCCAATCCACTCTACATTACCCAAGATCTGATGGAAAGTATACTAATTTTACACTATCTTCTATACTATTTCATTACATATGGTGTGGTATAAGCCCAAGTCCAATAAATTCTATTAATATAAAATTCAATAATTAAAATTTGTGTGGTTATACATATGTCACATCATGATGTAATGAAAATTGTAAAAGAGTGATGTAAATGTAATATTACGTGATGAAGCCCTAGTCCAATATGAAATTTTAGTTTTGAGTAATGGGTGCAGTGGGTTCACCTTTTTTTCACATGATCGGTACGCGTGGACTATTCTCTTACAGTTCAAATTTTTGACTCGTGGATCAAGCACCTGTTAGACTCGTAGCTGTCCGACCCATCCATTTGCCAGGTCTACCTTTTTAGAGTAATGTACAGCCACATGGTAGTGTACCAATTTAGTCACCAAATGACGTGACAAAATCTTGACCGTTAATTAATATTAAGTTAAAATTAATCAACGATCATGATTTTATCACGTCATTTGGTATATAAATTTGGTACACTATCGCTGTGGTATTATTATTTCCACCTTTTATTATATTAGTGTTCAGTATTCCGCGCAAAAGCTAATAAAAAGTGGTACCTTTTACTATATAAGATTACAATATTTCCAACGCAAAAGCCAATAAAAAAATTTACTATATAGTAACATTCCTTCTACGAAAATTAATGAAACCTCTCTACAAAGAAAGAAAGACACATTCCACACCCAGAAAAGCTTATCTATAATTTCACATAATTAACAACCATCAAGAATAATAATCAAACTAGAAGATTGATTGATCGATGACCATAACCATCGATGAAGCATAATGTGTTACATAATCGAGCAAGGTTCTTCACAATAATAGTAATAACCACAACGATTCCTGCAATATAACCCCGTTGCAACCACAATCACAACGGCAACCCAAACTATCACAAACTGGCCTTCCATAAGAACCACCATAACATGGAGGTATCCCATAAGCAGCTGTTCACATGGCCCCCCTCCCGACCCTCGGAGCACTGCCTGCAACACACCCCAAATGGGACCGGGTAGGCGTAGCCCTGCGGATAGCCCAGTACCGGTATCTTGGGTGGCGGATGTGTTGGTAGTTTAATAATAACTTTAGGATTGGGATCACTGGTTGCTCATCAGGTGGTTTTTGTTTATCTCCGTCTTTTTCTCTCCATCAGATGGATTTGGTTTATCTCCGTCTTCTTCTCTCATCAGATGGTTTGGTTTATCTCCTCTTTTTTCTCTATTCTTCTTCTTAGGCGGTTTGATTTCTATACTTATGATTGCCTACCGCCCTTGCAGCGGATCTTTTGCATGATTTTTTCAGGGCTGCAGCAACACGCCACTTTTATAGTAACTGTGTTTTGCTTCTCATCGTAAACTTGATCTTGTATTTCTATATATCAAAGTTCAAGAGAATTAATCAAAACAATAGCTTACATATTCATGCACATATATAAACACACAGAACGAGAGACTCACGGGGGATTTCACAAAGTATTTTCTTGACTTTCTTGTAGCATTTGCTGCAACTTAGGTCAACTTTGATCACCATTGCTTAGCCTGCGATTATTAATCAGAAAAATTAATAATAAAAGAAAAAATTAAATGGCAAGAGAGGAGAGTTAAGGAAGGTGAGATTAGTTTGCAAACCTCCGCCATCTTTGAGAGTGTTGATAAGATCTGAGCCTCAAAGCATAAAGGATCAAGGCTGGTTATTATTTATATATAGACTTGAACAACTTCTCTTATGTAAAAATTAATTAAGCCAAACTGCATATAAGAGGAGTTAATTACAAAATTAAAGCCCACTGTCGTGACGTTCTCCAACTGAGGTAGCTATGACCTCCAAATGACTTCAGATTTATTGAAGGATTAAAGGTTAATTAATCTTACTTTAGACTTTTAATTATGCACATTATCACATCGTGCTCTTATATATATACCTTCGAATATTCCACACATCAATCAGGATCATGCATTTCATCTTCTCTAATTCACTTAAATATTATTTAACTATAAGGGGATTAGTTAGTTCGTCTATTTATGTTAATTAACCCATTACCTCCTTAATCCATCTTATAATAATAAGTTAGTGGCTATCGATCTTCCCATGCCTTATTCGGAATGAATTCAATTTTATAATTACATAAAGACTGTGTGGTACTATATTTAAGATCATTTAACTAACAAAATTTGGCAAAATTGAAGCATTAAGATCTGATCGATGCTTCAATCAACACTTACTTAAGATTAATTAAGATTATTCAAATGAAGGATAGCGACTTCACTAATCGGAAAACTGTTAGTGCACATGGTTGATGGACCTGCAAAAAATTAACTTTGAGTGAGGCTGCTGTAGTGGTAATGTTACTTTATTAATGGCGTCAACTGATTGGAATTGTCGTCAAGAAATTGTATATAAATGTAAAAAGGTATCATTCAATCGACTTCACTTTTCTCTGCCTCATCCCCGCATCCTCTTTATTCACCGAGTCATTGCAATGTTTTTAAATCACCAGTAAATTCGTGAGGACCATTATAATTGATATGGAAATCTTACCACAATATATAATATTTAGAAAGTGGAGGCAATCATCATTAAGTATTACTTTTAGATAATATATATACTGTGTATACAATAATTTGGTATGTGGATGTTATCAAAAGATATGAATATGACATTACTACCTAACCGACAACACTCTCTTTACAAAAACCAAACAAAACTACCCAGATGCCACCAAACAACGTAACTATAGTGAAACCACCAGCTTCTCATGCATGCACCACCATTACTTTTACATGATTCTACAACTTCTTAGGACTCTCTTCGCAAAAGTAATCACATCTATTAACTCTGTACATCACCACCGCCACCCTAGCTACAATACACGGCCTCCAGTAATATCCGCAATACATCTTGGCGGTCCAAGCAACCTAGTTGGTAACATGGCCCCCCTCCCAGCCCCTCGTACCATTCCCTGCAACACATTCCAACGGGGGTCGGATAAGCCGGTGGTGGGAAGCCTGGTGCTGGTTTTGGCAGTGGGTCAACAAAACTAACCAAAGGCTTGTCTTGTTTTGGCGGCTCTGCTTTCGCTGGTGCTGGTGTAGTGGTGCTGGGCGTGGTCGGGGTGCAGCTGGTCGCTCGGGTATGGGTGGTGCCGGTAGTGGATCGATTGGTTTCTGTGTAGGCCTTCTGGTTCTTTTGGTTTTTCAGGTTCTTTCGTCTTTGGAGGTTATTTAGGCTTGGGTGGATAAAATTTCAATACTCTTGATGGAATCACCACCTTTGCAGCAAGTCTTTTGCTTGATCTTCTCAGGATTACAATACACCACTTTGATCCTTACTGTGTTCTGCTTCTCGTCATACACCTCATCTTGTATTTTTGATCTTGTTCAAACATTCCCTCTACATAAACACCTGCTTCAAATTCATTAACAAAGAGAATTGACGAACAAATTAAAGACATCACGAGGGAATTTACACAGCTTTCTTCACTTTCCTGTAGCACTTCTCACTCTGAAGGTCAACCTTCAACACCATTATCACAACTTTCTGCAACATTAAACAATCAAGATATTGTATAACCAACAAACATGAGATGGGCATGGTTAAATTATAAGAAAGATAAGATTTTGCAATCCTCCTTCCCCATGGCTGGGTGTGGGGTTGCTCAGATGATCTGAGTCTGAACCTCATTTCAGAATAATATTAAGTAGAGTTTGATTAATAAAATTGAGGAAGAGAATGATCAGTGAGAGTAAGAGAGACACGCATATTATAATTATATAAACTAACTTTAATCTCAAGAAGACATAAGAGTTCGATTTCTGTACATCAATAACCACTATGATGTTGACACGTGTAATGGATGTTGAATTGCATGCGATCATCAAGATCGTCCACTAGCTTTTGGTTTTTGAATGATGACGCAGCCCACGTTATTAATTATATAAATTTATAATTGTTTTAAGTGGTAGACTTCTACCAAGTTAATCATGGCTTATGTAAGTCATTTGAGACGCCTGGCCCATACAAGTCTACATAATACATTGTTTATACAACCCAATTTGAAAACATATAACTTTATGATTTGTTATTGGATAATTGAAGGTGGGTAGGTAAGGGAAGACTATAAATTGAGCCTATTTCTTCCATTTTATACACAACTCAATTGAATGAAAAGTTAATAAAAACTTCTCATTTTAGTCCTCTTTATTTTGCTCTTTTACTTTTTAGTCTCTGTTAGTTTAGGATTTAGGAAAGACTATAAATGAGCCTAGTTCTTTCATTTATACACAACTCAATTGAATGAAAAGTTATAAAAACTCTCATTTTATCCTCTTTTTTTGCTTTTTTACTTTTTAGTCTCTGTTAGTTTATTTTAGTGCACATGTTATCAGCACGAAAAGCTTAGTAAGTGTAATGGTTTTATTCATTCATTTATTATACATATATGATGCAACAATTGTTATGATTAACTCTATGGTTGCCATAAAATGGATCTTTTATATAAAAAACATGGTTAGTTCCTAACAATAAATTTGTTATAATCGTTCCTGAATTAACCAATTGACTTTATTTACACGTATTGCTAATGTTGTTACATCATGCTATTAATGATTTAATTACATTACATATTTATTTTTTCGAGGTTTATTATATTATGGAGACACCAAATTATGGCAACCTAAAGTTGTAATAAATGATAATGAAAACCAGAGTTCTAAGAATCAGTCTTCAGTCATGAACTTAAAGTTTTGAATTAAAATTTTGATATTAGAATCTGAAGTTTCAAACGTCAGACTTGAAGTCCTAAGTTGCGCGATTTTGATATAGGGACTAAAAACCTAAAGTTCTAAATACCGAAGTTATGTTCTTAAAGGTCTGAAGTCTAAGAACTCAAAATTTAGAATTTGGAGTTCTAAGTTTCAAGATTCTGAGATCAGAAACTGAGTTCTGACTCTAATTATTGCATGCTTTCTTTTATTATACCCAATTTATTGCTATTATTGTCATTTTATTATTCTTTACTTTTATGCAATTAATTGTTCTTTTATAATATAATATATTAATTGTTTTTTGGATGCCAGAATGCATCTTATACATGCATCCAAAAGATGAGAATCAGGAAAGAAAATTACTTATCCTTGTAGGATAAATCAAAATCCTAAATTTATTTCTAAAACCTAAAATGAATTTTGTATTTGGGAGTTTTTATAATAGTCTTTTGGAAAAAGTTGAGTTGAGTAGTATTGAGAAGTTTTTTGTACATTTTTTAATGGCATTTTCTGAAAATATTTAGATTAATTTTAACCCCCAGGGTTTGTTAATTTAACTAAACACCCCTAACAATAAAAGTTTATAAATTGATAAAAACACCCTCATCCACCCACATTTGCCAGATTTCGGCCACCACCACCGAAGGTAGCCGAAATCTGCCTTATTGGCACACTACAGACAGATATAGCCGGTAGTGTGTCGATCTGGCTTTTTCCGCCACCAGATTTGGTCGTTGATGATGGTCACATCTTGGTCATCATTTGACGAACAAGATATGGCCATCATCAATAGCCAGATCAATGCACTACCAGCCATATTCAGCTATAAGTGCACCATTATGATAGATTCTAGCCACCTTTGGTAATGGTGGTCGAAATCTGGCAAATGTGGGTGGATGAGGGTGTTTTTGTCAATTTATAAACTTTTATTATTGGGGTGTTTAATTAAATTAACAAACCTAAGGGGTTAAAAATAATCTAAATATTTTGAGTTGAATAAAATAATATTGTATTTTGAAGAGAATTTTGAATATTGAAACAAATATGTATTTGGATAGGATTGAATAGGATTGTGGAATAAGATAAGGTCAAAATGTTGTACCAAAGGGGCCCTAAATTTCTCAGGATATAGGACTCGTTCATCTTATAATAGAATAGAATGATCATTGAAAGGAGATGTATTCCCTAAAACTCAAGATACGCTCCTATTGTAGTAGTATATATATCAAACCTTCCTTATAGTAGTGGTGTAATAAGAACCAACTTACAAAATATTTAGAAATTGATTATGAATCACCTGAAAGTGATTCCTTCACCATTCCTTGAAGCGAATGTTAATAGTCATATAATCTTCGTTAAGACACTCACTAGAAGTGGGATATTTATAAACCAAAAGAAACCAAGGTCCTGAACTATGAAAAGACATTTCATAGGCGTGACATAAAATATATTTTGAAAAAATGTACTTTCAAGCCCCTATGAAACTGAAAGGAAGTATGATTATATCATTTTATTACTAAGCATTAATATTACTTTTTATAATATATTGTAATGCATATTCTTATCATGTGTTCTTCCTTCTTCATTTCTAATGTAAATATTCTTTAATGAAAAGGATATGAAATCATAGATTGAATTGTGCGCTCTAAAAAAGAATGGTAGAGACATTTGTTTGGTAGATAGTGCAACGACGCACACCATCCATCGGGATAAAAACTATTTCTCATATTTGATATTAATTAATGCTAAAGTAAATATGTACTATATCAGGGTCTATAAACATAATTGAGGGCTTTGGAAGAGCAACACTCTTTTTAGCAATTAGAACTAAGTTAAGTATCTATGATCCTTTATATTCTATCAAATCCAGAAAAAAATTTCTTAGTTTCAATGATATACGAATCAATGGATACCATATTGAAACTTTAAATGAAAATGATACAAAATTTTAATG